AATCTCATTCGATCGTTCCCACGATCGCCCTCGCAGGATCGATCACACTCGATCGATCTCACTTTAGATTGCACTATCGATCTCACTGTAGATCTCTCTGTATATCTCGCTTTCGATCTCAAGATCGATCTCACTATCGATTCCTCTCTGGATCCCACTATCGGTCATAGTACCGATCTCACAACCAATGTCACAATCAACCTCACTGCCAATCCCACTTGTAATCTCACTATCCATCCCATTCGAGCAATCTCATTATCGATCTCACTATCTACTTCACTATCGATGCCAAGGCGAGACACTCCTGGCCACCGCCCGCCCACCGCCGACGGAACACCGACGGGACACCAATGGGACACCACGGCGGGACACCCCGGTCCACCGCGCGCCCACCGAGGGCGGAGGGGCGGTGCACTGCATCCGAAACGCCCTAGCGACGGCGGGGTCACTCCTCTCGTGCGTCCACGCAGCTTCGCATCGCCCGCCCGCACGATACGACCACGACGCCGAAACCGACTTCCCCGTGTGGGGCTCTCCGCTCCGCTGCGATCTCTCCCCCCCCAACCTCCGATCCCCATGCAGCAAGGACAGCGCCTGGGAGCTGCAAGGGGCAGCCGCCATGGAGCCCTCCGTCGCAGCGCGCAGAGACCTTTCTCGCGCGAGCACTCGCAGCGGGAAGTGCCAACTCGCCATCGCTCGGACGTCCATTTCCAGTGTTTTTTTCGGTTCTTGCGTGGTTTTTTCGCCAAATGATCAAGGATGCTCCTCGATTGTCCTCGCCGAAGGAAAAATGCACACGTCCGAGCGATGCTAAGCACGCGAGCACTCGCAGCGGGAAGTGCCAAGGACTGAGATGCACGTCTGGGGATTTCCGCGTCCACTGATTCCACGCGGGGCCTCGGAAGTCCCGACCCTTTCCCCACGGCCGCCTTTTTCACCCAGAGTTGGCTGTTTATAGAAGTATCTGGGCTTGTATATATATATATATATGCTGACAAACACAGAACGCCACCTCGAATCATCTCTAACCTCCAGACACGCCTTCTCGTCTCTCATTTCCCATCTGACTGCCGTTCTCCTTCTCGTCCTCCTCGCCACTTGCGCTGCCTCCCCCCCCTCCTCATCATCATCATCCTCCTCCATCCTTCCCTCACTCCCTCCCTCCCTCTGGGGCCCAGCGAGAGCCCCCAGAGGCCGAGCACCACAAGACGCCCACGTCATGCCTGCTCAAAGAAACTTGGATGTCTGCGTTCGCCCGACCCGGGAGGCGGCCGTGGCCAGCTTAGCTGGCGGCCGACACCTCCGGCAAAGAAGCGGCCAGCGCTCAGCACCTCTCCGACCTCCGCTTGCCCTCGGCGTGCGCCGAGGGGGCTCCGCTAAGTCCTGGCGCCTCGGCGCCCTTCGCGCACATGGCGGGGCCCGGCGGAATGAGGAGGCGCGCGAGAAGCTGATTACGGACCTCGTCGTACTCCACCGCCCTCAGTCTCTCTTTCTCTCTCTCGCTCTCTCTCTCTCTTATCTGTCTCAGGATGTTTCTCTCTACTATATGTATGTATACACAGATAGATACCTATCAATGTATCTATGTATGTGTATATCCAGACCTCTCCTTGTGTATACATATATATATATATATAGATCAGTCCGTATATGCATCTGAATAAGCATGGATGCATACAGATATGTAGCGAAATATAGCCACATCCATTTACACACACATGCACATAATATGTGGATTGCCGATTTCCATATGAACAGATGCAGTTTATGAACAGATACAGCTATATGTGTGCGTACACATATACATCGATCTATCGCTCGGTGTATATATATATATATATGCGTTTGTATGTATTGATGTATGTGCGCACGTATATCTACACATATAAGTGTGTGTATGTGTGTACACATGTCGTCCGCATGTATAAACAATGTTCTATAAATACGTGTGCATTAACATATAGCTACAACAAGGTATCTAGGATTGTGTATAGGTATATATATATATATATAACAATAACTACATATATATGCTGACAAACACCGAACGCCACCTCGAATCATCCTTAACCTCCAGACACTACTGGTCGTCTCGCTGTTCCCCTCTGACTGCCGTTCTCCTTCTCCTCTTCCTCGCCACTTGCGCTGCCTCCCCCCTCATCCTCATCATCATCCTCATCCTCCTCCATCCCTCCCTCACTCCCTCCCTCCCTCCCTCCTCGTCCTCGCCCACTGAAAACGTGCGAAGGCAAGTACGGGGAGCTGCCAATGCCTTTGGGGTTTCCAAGCCCCACCGGCACCCCTGTTCCTGAGGACTCAGATAAGGATTCAACCGGAAAGACTGAAGAGAACGGGAAGGGAGGATTCGATTAGGATTGACTCGGGGGCAAATAATGGCTCAACAGCCGATAGGGCGAGGAGAAGGGGGAGGGAGGATTCGATTAGGATTGAATGGGATTTAAATTACCATGCAATGAGAAAGGGCGGGGAGGAGGAGGAGGAGGAGGAGGAGGAGGAGGAGGAGGAGGAGGAGGAGGTGGAGGAGGAGGAGGATGAGGAGGGGGGATGATTACATTGGGTTTGAATGAGATCCAAATCGGAGCCCAATGGGAAAGGAAAGGGAAAAAGGAGGGGACGGGAGGAGGAGTGGGAGGAGGAGGGGGAGAAACTTGACTTCGATTCGGATTGGATGTGGTTCACATAAGGACTCAATAGGGAAGGGCGCAGGGGAGGGTGAGGGAGGAGTCGATTGGGTTTGAATGGGATCCAGATGAGGGCCTAACAGGAAAGAAAAGCGGAACATAGGAGGAGAGGGAAGATAATTGAATTAGATCTACATGCCTTCCCCCCCTCCTCTTCATCGACGGCCGTTCTCATCGAATTCTTACCTGAACCCGATTCAATCCTACTCGAATCCTGCCTCCCTCTTCTCCTCGCCCTTTTCCGATTGAATCCGCATGTGCGACACATTCAATGCAAATCGAATCCTCCCTCCCCTTTCCCCTCGCCCTTTTCTACTCAATCCTTCTTGAAGCAAAGAAGGACAGGGAGAGCGCGCGGAAAGAGCAAACATGAGAGGATGAAGTGCTGTGTGTGCGCGCCCATATATACGTGTATATGTAGCATGTTATGTGTATATCTACACACATATATATATAGCTAACTCTCTCTCTCTCTCTCTCTCCCCCTCTGTCTCACTCTGTGTCTCTGTGTCGATGCATATGTTCATACACTCGAGAATGACTTCCACCACCACTAGAATGAAACATAGACCGCTGGGGAGACAGGCGGAGTCACAGAAGCCGACCCCTCCCCGAACAGACACTTCCCTGGGCAGCCCTGACAACCCTCCACCTTTCCCACCCTCAGCGGCCCTCCACTCCCCACGGGAACCTGGATAGACGAAACCTCCCCCCACTCCAGGAGCAAGAGGGAGGGAGAACGTTGGGGTGTCGGACGCTGCCCTCCCGCCCCCGACTCGCTGATTTGGCGAACGGCAACGGCGACGACGGACGCCAGAAAACGCCGACGACGAACGACGAACGGCGGACGACGGACGGAGAAGGAGGAGGAGGGAGGAGGAGGAGGAGGAGGAGGAGGAGGAGGAGGAGGAGGAGGAGGAGAGGAGGAGGCGGAGGAGGGAGGAGAGGGAGGAAGAAGAGGAGGAGGAGAAAGAGGAGGAGGAGGAGAGGAGAGGATGGAGGAGGAGGAAGGAGGAGGAAGAAGAGAAAGAGGAGGAGGAGAGGGAGGAGGGAGGAGGAGGAGGAGGAGGGAGGAGGAGGAGGAGGAGGAGGAGGAGGAGGAGGAGGGCGGGGAGGAGGGAGGAGGAGGAGGAGGAGGAGGATGGAGGAGGAGGGGAGGAGAGGAGGAGGGAGGAGGAGGAGGAGGAGGAGGAGGGAGGAGGAGGAGAGGAGGCGGAGGAGGAGGAGGAGAGGAGGAGGAGGAGGAGGAGGAGGAGGGAGGAGGAGGAGGAGGAGGAGGAGGAGGAGGAGGAGGAGGAGGAGGAGGAGGAGGAGGAGGAGTGGGGAGCAGGTGGTTGAGTCTGGAGAAAGGCACGTCCCCGCCGTTCGGCGCGATGCTTGCAGATCGCGCCGTCGCCGTCGCTGCCGTAGTCGCCGCCATCGCGGCCCCAGACGGTACCGCCTTCCCCTCCCGCCCCATGCACACGACGTTGCAGCACGGTCGCGGCGGCGCCTGGTCGGCCCTCCTGTCGCCGCCCCAGACGAGCTCGAAGACGCGGAGGAGGGGGGGGCGCAACTGCTGCTCGAGGTAGTAGTCGGAGTCGACGGTTGGCGGCGCGCACCAGGGGGCAGGGCTATGGCCAAGAAGCATCTAACAGGACAGAGGGCTTCTTAGACCGGGGCCGCCTTCCGGGAAGGCGGGGGGCCTCTTCAGAAGGGCCTGGGCCCAGCCAGGAATGCCTTCCTCGAGGGCAGGTGGCATGCTTCAGGAGGACACCCCGCATGTCTCCGGATGTCGCCAGAGAATGCTGGACGTCTTCGGAATGCCCTGAGGTCCCTGGAGTCACCAGTGGGCTCTCGGAGGCCCCACAAGAGCCAAAGACGTCAAAAAACATCGACCCTCCTCGCCCTTCCTCCTCCCCCTTCCTCGATCCTCCTCCTCCTCCTTCTCCTCCTCCTCCTCCTCCTATTACTATTGCTCCTCCCCTCCTATTTCTATTCCTCCTCCTCCTCCTCATCCTCCTTCTCTTCTTCCTCTACAAACATCAGCAACTCCCCTACTACCTCCGCCTCTCCTCCTCATCTCTCAGACCCATGCTCCTCTCTAGACTCCTCCGCACCACTAAGACCTGCCTTGCACGTCCACATGATCCTTCTCCGTGGTCAACACATAGGCCCACCGCCTAGCCGCGATGCGCACGAACGTTGCGACGACATATTCTTCCTCCTCCTCCTCCTCCTCCTCCTCCTCCTCCTCCTCCTCCTCCTCCGGTTCTTCATCCGACGGCCACACCTTCGGCCTATCCCCGTCGTGCGCGCCGCCGAGATGGGCAGCTCGCTCTCCAGCGCCTCGGCAGATGGCCCAATGCATGTCTCGCACTCCGCCCGACCAACTAAGAAACAGGGTGGTGGTGGTGGCTGGGTGGGGGGAACGGGAGAACGAAGAGGAGGATGAGGATGAGGAGGAACGAGGAGGAGGAGGAAGACCAGTGAACACCCAATCGGTACGCATCAGCGATATTGCAGTACACCATCACTCCAAGTTCCCTCCTCATAGGTTCCTTCAAGGGTATGTCTTCGTTGCCGAACATGCCCGCTTGGAAGACAAGTGTCTGAGACTCCTCAGGCCTGCCAGAGCTCCGCTCCTGGGAAGGTCAGTGCCGCAAATGAGCGTGCCTGCTGCGCCCTGACGATCCGAACGCGTGCCAGAACACCACTCCTGCGACTCCGACACCATCAGCAAACGTGACTGCTGCGCCCTGGCAAGATTAAGCTGCGCTAGGGCGCCATTCGTCGGACGTCTGCACGCATAAAGGGCCGCTGAAGCTGCTGCGAACGAGCAAAACGAATGCGCGCGGCGCTACGGCGAGGGCCACAGTTTGGACAGGAGCCGCCCTCCATCCTGGCGGCCGTGGCACACCTTTAAAAGCGAAGGTGGTCCATCCGTGAAGCTGTGGCACACGTTCAATGTGGACGCGCGCGGCGGTAAAAAAAACAAGAACCGCCCGTTGAGCACCCGCGGCCCTCCCTCCCCGAACATGTTGCACACCTTTACAACGAGCGTGCGCGGCGCTCGGCCGCGCGAATCACATGCTGAAGCGGCCCGCCCTCCGCCCGTGAAGCTGCTGCAGAGCTCGATCTTCAGAGCCGCGATTGGTGAGAAAAAATCTCAGGCGAAGTGCCGGGCCCGCCCTACCGACACGCCTGGGGGTGCGACGGGGAGGAATTCTCATGTTTTTGTGCTCCTCCATGGGACACCGATCATGCCAGCTACGGGGGTGCACTACGCACTGGACTCACTCCCATGAGTGAGGAAACCAAGATCCTGGAGAGCCCAGCTCTCCAGGAGAAGGGATCAGGGGAGGAGGAGTTGGAGGAGGAGGAGGTCTGAATCCCGTTTTATGGGTCCACGACCTGGTCGATTCGTAGCCGGAGGGTTAGGCCAATTCTGAAGGAGTACTCGATGCAAGAGGACGCGTGCCCTTAGGCGCTGATGATAGGGTCGGGTCGGACGGGAGTGGGGGGGATTGTACTGACGATAAGCGCCTCCGTCGTTGCGGATGGGGTTGCGCCATTGTCCAGGGAGGCCGTGTGGTAGGCAGAGCGTACGGCACCCTTCCAGGACGGATCCAGACGGTTCCCCTAGCGGAGCTGCTTGGTATCACCGTAGCTTTGCAACGCACTATTGGTGAATGTCAATTTGTGCTCGACTGCCAGAGCGTGATTGATGGGATTCGTCATGGACCCCAATGGAAGCACGAGGCGAATTCGGCTGCGTGGCTCGATTTCTGGGAGGCCTATGAAGGCCATCCAGGGCGGTGCCATATTAAAAAGGTAAAGTCCCACCTCGAAGAAGGGGATGTGGGGGTCCACATTACCCGGGAAGATTTTACCGCCAACCAGGCCACGGATGAGTGTGCCAGTGAAGGGGCGCGCATGGCCAGGCTCCCACAACATATCATCCAGCAGGTAATCGACGTATATCATAAAGCCGTCCGCGTGCAGAGGCGCCTGACAGAAGTCGCTCTGCAAGTGGCTATCCAGACCCCATCCCTATACTCGGTCACCTCTAGAGCTGATCGTGTGGCCCGCAGTCGAGCGTCCCGGGCCCAGGGTCAATCGAACGTTGAGCAAGCACTGCAGGAGACCACACACAGCGTGATCGAGAAGGGGGGGGTATAGATTGTGTTTTGTCTGCCGCGGGCGCCCTACCAAGGAGTGTGGGACGCTGGAGTGGCTTGCCTCGCAATGCCCAGGTCGGCCGCACCAGATCCATCAGAGCCACGACGTGCCTTGTACTCGTGAACTCTGGTGGTGTCGCAAGTGTGGGGCTTGCAGCAGTGCGAAGATCAGCGCTGGGTTGCAAGGCACCTGTCACCGCCCAACAGACTGGGGCAAGAAGGTGCTGTCCAAACTCATGGATGGCCGCTTCCCCCCAAGTCTGAAGACCTGGCCAGACAAGCTTGGCAAGGGGCAGGGTGCAGGGTAGTTTCACGCGCGCGCCGTCCCTCCGCGTCATGTGCGGACTTGGGGACTTGGAGTGTGCGCCAGGAGGAGGAGGAGCAGGATGAGGAGGAGGAGGGGGAGGAGGAGGAGGAGCAGGAGAGGGAAGAGGAGGAGAAGAGGAGGAGGAGGAGGAGGAGGAGGAGGGAGGAGGAGGAGGAGAAGGATGAGGAGGAGGAGAAGGATGAGGATGAGGACCAGCATAGCCCACAGATGTACGAGCGAGTCTGCAATGCGCCCTCCCGCCCCGAAGGTCCCCTCCTCAGATGAGCCTGCAAGTCTTCCCCCTTCACTGCAAGAAGCGCCCCCACCCCCCTGGAACGACCCACGCAATTGGGCCTGCTATGAGACGCACAAAAATCAGACTTGTACGACATACCTTCCTGAGAGGAGCGCGTCCGTCGCGAACATATAGTATACCCATCTTGTAGTGTATCGTTCCCCGAGCGATGTGGCCAGAAAGCGCCGGCCACGACGCATATACTATGACATTTCTCGGTGCGCGCCTCCCTTGGGTAGCCACGCAGACGCAGTATTAGTAGTTTGGGGCGGCGACGGTGCCAATTTGGCGAGGGCCCCACCTTGGAAAGGAGCCGCCTTGCATATTTGGGCGCGTAAGCAAAAACGCAAAACAGATCAGCCAGCGTTGACTCCACATTGATTAGACGACTCAAAGCAAGGAATCAAAGGAATCGAGCATGCTTGGAGTCCGCAACTCGGCTAGCAAGCAAGCGTGCAAGCAAGCGTGCAAGCAAGCGCGCAAGCGCGCAAACAAGCGTGCAAGCGTGCAAGCGCGCAAGCAATCAAGCAAGCACACATATGGGGGGGGGGCCATTGGAAAAAGGGGGGGCATTGGAAATAAGGCGGGGGCATTGCAAAAAGGGGGGGGAGAGAGGCGGGGGCACTGGAAATAAGGGGGGGTGCCATTGGAAAAAGGTGGGGGGGGGAGGCTGAAAGCAAATTTCTTATGATGAGCTAGGACTCCTATAGAGCAAGCCTATTTGGAGAAAGAACTGCGATCCTACAATTCAGCGGGGTGTCCCACGACACCCCCTTCGAAATAGGACCGCTCCCCACCCGTGTGACTGTTGCAAGCGGTTGCCCGTTGACCCTCCAAGTGATGGGTTTCGAAGAAATCCCAAACGACAACTCCATTTTGAGAAAGAACCGCCACGGATCCGTGCGACGCTACGTGCGTTGAAGTCCCGGGAAACCAACGCAACGAAGTCTCAAGCGGTAGCTCCGTTATGACAAAAAGCAGCCCTCCAAGCGTTGAATTGCAAAACGAATGCGAACAACGCTGGGGCGAGAGCCCCATTTTGAAAAGGAGCTGCCCTCCATCCGTGAAGCTAGGGGTGACTTGCAATGAGATTGTGCGCGGCGCTGGTGCGAGAATGCGCAAGTTTGAAGACTATCCCCCTTCCGTCCGTGAACACGCTGCGAACGTTTGAGACAAATGCGCGCGGCCCTGGGGCGAAAAGCACACGTTCAAAAACGCCCCCTCTCCACCCGTGAAATGGTTGCGGCCTTTGAGGCGAACGCGCGCGGCGCAGAGGCGCGAGCAGCACCTTGAAAGCGAGACCAACCCGCCGTCCGCGGAACCGTTCCAGGACTTGGCAGACGAGCGTGCGCGGCGCTATGGCGAGAGCCACGGTTCAGATCCAGGGCAAGGAGGGGGAGGAGGGAAGAAGAGGAGGAGGAGGAGGAGGAGGAGGAGGAGGAGGAGGAGGAGAGGAGTAAGGAGGAGACGCGCGGCACCGTCTCTTCAAAACGAGGACCCGAACACGGCGACACTCCACCCGTGAAACAATTCCCAGGATTTTGCAACGAAGCCGCGCGGCGCCGGGGCGAGAACCACAGGCTCACAACGACGCCGCCCTCCGTCCGTGGCGCTGTTGCAAGCGCGTGAGGCGAATGTGCGCGGAGCTGGACGCGAGAGCCCCGGCATGGGAACGGCCCCCTCTCCATCCCTGAAGCGGTGGCAAGCTTTGTGGGCACTGAGGTACGAAATGTGTGCGGCGCCGAGGCGAGAGCAACACTTCGTCACGGGCCGCCCTCTGTCGTTGAAGCTGCTACAGATTCCAAGTGTTGAAACAATATACGGTGAGAAAGTCGCAGGCGAAACGCCCAGCCCACCCTGCTAACACGCCTGGGGGTGCGACAAGGAGAAATTACCTCTAAGGAAAAACACACGGAGGAGAGAGCAGGAGATGGGAGGAGGGAGAACGGAGGATGGAGGAGATGTGAGTCCCTCCTTCTCCCCTTGCCTCCTTCCCCCTCCTCCTTCCCCCTCCTCCTCCCCCTCCTCCTCCTCCTCCTCCTCCTCCTCCTTCGCTTCCCTCTTCCTCCTTCTCCTTCTCGTGGTCATCCGCCTATTCCTGCTCAACTCCCCCATCATATACGAAAGCTCCCTCTCCGACTGCGCCACAAAAAGGTGAGCCAACTCCTGCAACTGCCATTCTGGAACCCAGGTCCCCCATGATACCCCAATTCTTTAGGACCCTCAAGGGGGCGCGCAATGTAAGGGAGGGGTGGTGGTGGGGGGGGGGTGAAGTCAGATGTGGAGCGAGAGCACCTAGCTTGGCCGTTCCTCGTTCCTCCTCCTCCTCCTCCCCCTCCTCCTCCACTTCTTTGCCCTCCCTCTCTACTCATCACTCCTACCACTCCTCGCCCATCGTTTTACCCCCCCCTCCCTCCCTCCCTCCCTCCCTTCTCGCCCATCTGTCCTCGTTCTCCTCCTCCTCCTCCTCCTCCTCCTCCTCCTCCTCCTGCTCCTGCTCCTCCTCCTGCTCCTCCTCCTCCTTCTCCTCTCTGCTCCCTCGTCATCCTTCTTCTTCCTCCCGCACTCTTCTCTTCGGATCCCGCACCCGGCACTCGAAGCACATTGTTCCATCCCCCACCCGAAAAGAAGCGACGGCGAGCTCCATGACGGAGAGTGCATGCCCGAGGGATAGTGGGAGCAGGAGCAAAGGACGTACGCGCTCCCCTCCTTTACGGAGCACGAGAACGGCGAGAGGAGCGAGCTAAGTGGGCGGCGCATTAAGGAGCGACTGAAGGAGGCCCCCTCCAATCAAACAGGAGCGAGGACAAGGAGGAGGCGATGAAGCGGAGGAGGAGGAGGAAGGAGAGGAGGAGGAGGAGGAGGAGGAGGAGGAGGAGGAGGAGGGAGGAGGTGAGAGCTAGCAGGAGGAGGAGGAGGACAAGGAGGGGGGATGATCCGGACAAGTCGAAAGAGAGGAGGAGAAAGAGGAAAGATGGGCGAGGAGGGAGGGAGGGAGGGAGGGAGGGGGGGTAAAACGATGGGCGAGGAGGAGAAAGAGTGTTGAGGAAACAGGGAGGACGAACAAATCAAGAAAGAGAGGAGGACGATGCGAAGCGATGCGATGCGACCACCGCTGCGGACAGTGTCCAGGCCTAGCTCGGACACGGTGGGTGCGGCCGTGGCCTCGAGGACGGAGGAGGAGGAGGAGGAGGAGGCGGAGGAGGAGGAGGAGGAGGTGGAGGAGGAGGAGGAGGAGGAGGAGAGGGAGGAGGAGAGAAAGGAGACAAGAGTAGGAGGAGGATTAGGTGAAGGAACCATACGAGGAGAAGAAGGAGGAGGAGGAGGAGGGGGATGAACCATACGAGTAGAAGGATGGAGGACTCGTTCTGACATCGGAGGCGACGGCAGGGGCGAGTAGCTCAGGGGGGAGCACTTTAAGCGTCCAGGGGCGCTGATGATACATGTCTTCGGTGGAGCTCCCGGGCGAAAGCGCGCAACCCTTTCCCTCGGGCGGTTCGCCCTCCCCGTCGCCGCCGATGACGAGGAGCAGCAGGCTGCTCGCTGGGCCCGGCGCGTGCAAGGGGTCCTCGGCCCGGTCGCACAGGGAGGCCCGGGCGGCGCCCGCGCAGATGACGTAGGGCACCCGGTCGCCTCGCCGTGCGGCGGCCGGGCCGCGGCCGCGCGAGGGAGGGCCCCGCTTGCCCGGGCGGCGCGCACGGGGCTCGCGTCGCGGCGCGGCAGAGGCAGTCCGCACGCGCGCGCAGCAAGGCGGGCGACGGCACTGCGAGGTGCCCGGTCGCGAGGAGATGGAGGAGGAGGAGGAGGAGGAGGAGGAGGAGGAGGAGGAGGAGGAGGAGGAGGAGGAGGAGCAGGAGGAGGAGCGACGGCACTGCGAGATGCGCCGCCCGAGTGTGACCGTGTCCACTGCTGCTGGGTCGTGCTGCGAGGGCTCGGGGAGCGGCGGATGTGGACCTCTGCCCGCTCACGCGGGCGGGCAGATGTCCAGATCCGCCGCTCCTCGGGGTCCCAGGGCACGACTCCGAGGCGGTGGACGTGGACATAGATTCTGGCTGTGGACAAGAGGCAGCGGAGGGGAGAGGAGCAGCCGCGGGAGGAAAGAGAGGGACCAACGCGCTCACGCAGCGTGGACCGCGGCGGGGCGCCTGGGGTGGCCGAGCCGGTGCTGCACCCCTGGCGCGCACAGGGGAGGCCGCCTTCGACGCATCGGAGGCTTCCGAAAAGTCCCGGACGCAGTCAACCCGCAAAAAGGAAGGACGCGCGATGAGGATGCGAGGGCCTTGCAGGGCCATGTCTCGTCTCGGGGTGCTTGCCACCAGCTGCGCCCCGCCGCGAGACCGCCCCGGGGTGCCCGCGTCGTCCCCGAGCGGTGGCCCGGAAGCCAGGCGCGTTTACTGAGGGGGGCCTGTGGGGCAAATTCGACTGCACGCAAGAGCGCGTTTCTGCATTTTCGGCGATACTGGGCATTGTAGGGGGGGGAGGGGGCAGGGGGGCTATAATGTAACGCCTCCCCCACGCCGTGTGCCCCATGCGCACGGCGGCAGTGCCCGGAGCGCGCTGGGGGGGGAGGGGCGTTACGTTATGGGGGGGAGGGGGGGCCGGGGGCTATAATGCACATTATGCCCCAAGGGTGACCCTGGGGAAGAGTGACCATCGGCGCGGCTTTCTCGGGGCCGCGAGGGGGCCAAACACAATCGCGCAAGGCGCTCCCATCGCATCGCGTTCGGCGACCCGGGGGCCCCTGTGGGCCCGCACCGAAAGTCACTAGGGCGAAGGGTCACTCTTACGCGTAGTTAAGGAAAACAGCTATCGTGTTGGGAGAAATGGGTTGGGAGGATAGAGGGTATGAGCAATAGCATCCGGATGCAATGAACTCGGCGGTGGACAAACCTCCCTTTAGTAAACCACCCTTTAGTGAAAACGGCCTTGGGCCGAAACCGACGGACCTGGACCCGCAAGAATGACGGCCGCGACGCGCCCTCTCGCGAACCGACAACGGCCAATTCCTGAATCGACGTGCCAGGGTAGGAGCTCTGCCAACCTCCGAGACAAAGGGCATGAGCAATAGCACCCGGATGCAGTGAACGAGGCCTTCGGCCGATCACGCATAAGGACATCCTCACTTCTCCCGAGCCCACCCTCGCAGCCCGATGCCTGCTCCTCCTCCTGTCTCATGTTAAGGCTAAGCTCTCACTCCCTCATCCTCCTCCTCCCTCCTCCTCTCATTCTCCTCACCTCCCCACCCCCCTCCTTCCCCTCCTCCTCCGCACCCCGAGTGTAGTCGATCGACGGAGGCCGCCCCGAAACTGGGCGCCGGAGCAGAGGGCTTGGAGGCTGGCTCCGCGGCGCCGCGGCAATCCCCAGACCCCCGACGCCGTTCACCGCGGCCAGCGATACCACGACGCCACGACGGCCGCCAGTCAACGAACGGGGAGACCCTAATTATCTACCGACCACCCCACACACCCACACCCCAAGACCCACCGAAGAACGAGACGAGACCGCTCAATATGTGCGTCAGCCTCAGTCACACGCAACACACGATTGCATGGCGCGGAAGAGCGCGCTTAAAAGCGTTGGGTGGGCTCGTGAGACAAAACACAGATAGAGGGAGACAGGCAAAGCACCCCCCTGACCGGAAACCCGGGGGGAACGCAGCGGAGGGAAGCAACTTCGGGTGACCATTCATGGAAGATAGAGATAAGAGGGGTTGGGCACATGTGGAGCTGCGAGGCTAGTCAAAACGTAATAGAGAAGGGAGAGCCCCCTATGCTCATAACGGGGAGGGGAGAGCACACAGGTCGAACCAAAGAAGGAGAATCAACAAATCTGGACGGCACACACCGGGCAGAGCGAGATGATAGCAAGGTACCACGGGGAAGGGGTCGAGACCTCTGGGGGTCGACGTTGTGGACAAAGCACGACGTCGGGGGTCTGGGGAGGGGGCCGACTTCTCTGACATCCGGCGACTCCAAAGGACGTCTCGGGCGCCGCGGCCTTCTCGGAGCGTTCCAGAACGCTCCGAGAGCGTTCCGAACGCTCCGGAACGGTTTCTCCCCGTGGGGCAGAGGGCAGGGCAGGCGCCGGGGCGGGGGCTGGGACTGGAACTGGTTTCGGGGAGGCAGATCCGGAATCCAAGAGTTGGGCGCGAGTTAACCTAGGTAAGTCTTTGGTTTTGAAGCCCCCACCTTTCACTCGGCGGTAAATGGGACTGGTCCTCAAACCTCCTCCTGCTCCTCCTCCTCCTCCTCCTCATCATCCTCCCCCTGGGGGACGATGAATGGGGGGAATAAAGGTGCCCTGTTCGAACCCCGAAGGCGTTCCGATTTGTCTTGTCTCCCCCACGGTGCGCTCGCTCTCCAAGCAAGAAACCGGAACTCCAGAGGTCTGGGTTCTTCCGTTTCCCTTGTTTCCCACGCGACCTCGCCCTACCGTCCTCACGAAAAGGAGGAGAAGGAAGAGGAGGAGGAGGAGGAGGAGGAGGAGGGACGCAGAGGTCGAGGAGGACGAGGAAGACGAGAAAAACGAAAACGAAGAGGACGAGACACAATAAAACAGAACGGAAACAAGATCAAACGGAACGAAAGGAGGGGAACACATAATGGAAGAAACATGCAACGAAACGAAACAACAAGCAACTACAAGGAAAGGTGGTAAAACGGAACAGCAAGAATTATAATCTCACAGGACTCATACAGTCTGGTGATAACTTAAGAATTTCTTTTGCTGAAAAATAGGGGCGGCGCCCAGGAGAAAGATATCAAAACATAGTAAAAAATAGTAACAAATATGTAAAAATATATTGTTTCATATATTTTCTCATATTTACATATTTTATCATATTTTTCGGCGCCCATCAGGGAAGGACAAAATATCAAACAATAGCAAAAAATAGTAAAACATTTTTTTTTTTTTTTTTTTTTTTTTTTTTAAAAAAAAAAAAAAAAAAAGGTAAAAATATATGTTTTCATACCTTTTCTCATATTTTTCATATTGTATCATTTTTTTCGGCGCCCGATCAGGGAAGGACAAAATATAAAAAATAACAAAAAATAATAAAAAAAAATAGTTGGAAATATATGATTTTCCATATTCTTCGGCGCTCGGTCAGGGAAGGAAGCAATATCAAAGAATAACAACAAGTAGCAAAACATAGCTGGAAATATATGTTTTCCTATATATTCCATATCCTCACACATTTGTAACAAGGGAATCCTAAGAATTCCTATGTATTCCCAACAATTCCTAAAGACTCCTGAGGATTCCTCTGGAATCTCAAGGATTCCTATGTATTCGTAAGGAATCCTAAGGAAACCTAAAGATTCCTTAGGGTTCGTATGGGTTCCTCAGGAATCTCAAGGATTCCTATGGATTCGTAAGGAATCCTAAGGAAACCTAAGGATCCCATACGGCCGGAACAAGGCCACAAGAACATCGGACAAGAACATGAGACCCTCCGCGGGCCAAAGTACCCCAAACCATAAGGACGTCGAGGACGCCCTTCCGAGGTGTCCCCGACCTTCACTTCCGAGCCAACGTGCGTAAGTACGCATCTGGTTCAGCCCCCACAGGCGGCACGATTGGGGAATGGGGAGGATTGGGGGGGACGGACGGGTACGAGGAGGAGGAGGAGCCGCATTCCACGGGTTGATCTGGATTTTGATTCGGATTGCGCTTGACGCCCCCGCGCGCATAGCCGTTGTCAACAGTGCGCTGACGATTGCGCTTGCGTTTGTCAACCCGTGTTTTTTTCATGGCTGGAAAACCTTCGAGCCAGAACGCTACATACGTGTTGGGGGCGAGCGGGACAAACTGCTTGAGAGAAACCAGCTGTTTCACTTGCATTCTGGGCCTCAACATGAAGCAATTTGAAGCAATGCGTTGCCATTCAAGACGTTTCCCATACGGCGCGCGCACAACAGGTGACCCACGCAGGGGCGGGTCACCAGAAAACTGGCTGAGAAAAACCAATTGTTTCACTTGTATTCTGAGCCTCCACACGAGGCAGCGCATTGCCACTCAATACGTTTCCCACACGGCGCGCGCACAACATATCACAACAGGTGACCCACGCAGGGGTGGGTCACCAGAAAACTGGTTGGGAAAAACCAATTGGTTCACTTGCATGCTGCGCCTCTACATGAGACAATGCATTGCCCATAAATACGTTTCCCACACGCCGCGCGCACAACAGGTGACCCACGCAGGGGTGGGTCACCAGAAAACTGGCTGAGAAAAAACCATTGCTTCACGTGCATGCTGGGCCTCAACATGAGGCAGCGCATTGCCCCTCAATACGTTTCCCATACGGCGCGCACAACAGGTGACCCACGCAGGGGTGGGTCACCAGAAAACTGGTTGAGAAAAACCAATTGTTTCACTTGCATTCTGGGCCTCCACACGAGGCAGTGCATTGCCACTCATTACGTTTCCCACACGGCGCGCGCAGAACAGGTGACCCACGCAGGGGTGGGTCACCAGAAAACTGGTTGAGAAAAACAAAGGGGTTTCACTTGCATTCTGCGCCTCGACATGAGGCAGTGCCGTGCCACTCAGTACCTTTCCCATACGGCGCGCGCGCAACAGGTGACCCATGGTGACCCACGCAGGGGCTGGTCACCAGAAAACTGGTT